TGGACTTAGATGGCCCAACAGGTGCTTCTGGGTGTGCTTGACACTTCATTTTTGGCCTAACTGTTCCTTCCTGTTGGACTTAGATGGCCCATCATTCCATCATCTCAGACCCACTATCTCTGGCTTAACCATACATTTGTGGCTCTTTTCCTTTATCTCTCCTCTATGATTTACAGAGGTGAGATAATAGACCCTACTGAGGTCTCAGTGTTTTGTTGACCTTTTTCTGCCATTCATTGTGAAATCTTCAGCTGCAAACATTCTTCTCTACTGAGCTACAGTCCCACAACATGAACTGTCAATGTCCACAAATTTCAACTTGATGTTCACTACATACAACCTCTTTCCAAATTCTCTATCCATTTCCAGATCACAAACATTTAGCCAAGGTTTTAGGTTTACAGTCTCAGGTTCGTCCTTGACCTCTCATTATCATGGCACCTATTTGATCAGTTTACAAAACTTGTCCTATCTACCTTCACAACATTGCTGGTATTCATATACTTCTCTCAAAACTGTAGCCCCCATCTTAGATCAGGGCCTCAAAGCTCCCTTCTGCAAGGGCCTTTGATAGGCCTCCCTACCTCGGTCATCTTCCCACTCAGATTACTTCTCCAAGCAGCAGTCATAGGTATTTTAAAATTTTTTTCCCCAAGGTATTTTTAAAAGCCTTTATCTGACTCCTGTTCCACCTAAAACCCTCTAAGACCCTGGCCTTGCACCAATTATCTTGTAAGGTCCAGTTGCTCCTTGTTTTGTGCTGATTTAAATAGGTAGCATCTGTCTGGCATTTTTCTCTCTTCTTTAGCTAGCCCACTCCCACCTTTCCAGTCTCAGAACATTTTGTTTTGCTCCCCACAATTTGATGGTCTTACCAGTGCTAGCCTACAGTCTTTTACTCAGACAAAGTACAGCATGATACCTTCTGCTTGCCTTTGCACTGATTGGCTGTCCACACAGGGTATTAAAATTGTCCGACCTACAATAAGAGAGACTGATCCAGAGTTCTGGGCCAATGACACTGGATTTAAGAGTCCATAGTCCTCTGTAATGAACAGCACATCTTATCTTCCTCATGAACTGAGGAGCCCTGTTTTTGTGGGGCCTTAGTTTAATAAGGTTGATAAAAGATTTTGGTTGGGCAAGGCATGGGGCATCTTCACTGATTAAGTGGTCATAAGATAGTCACCTGGTCATGTTGGACAAGAGAAGCTTGTTTTGGAGGTACAAAAATAAGTTGGAAGACTTTCCGTGTCATTGAGTCACCTCCACTATGCTGTACTTGGTCTATGTAATAAGGAAAAATAAGGGTAAAGATCCTTTAGTTAGCTTCCTATGTTTAAATAAGTGAACTTAAATCTGCATGTCACAGCTCTGGCGTCTAATATATAAGACTTATAATTCCTACCACTATGGAATCATATCAGATTGATTAATAGTGATTAGAATGGAGTAGAGGTCCAAATGAATTATTTGTCATATCTGGTCAGGATCCTATCCTCTCTCCTACATTCCGCTCTAATTTTCTCTCTGCTATTGTGTTTCAGGGTCTAAAATCACCTGTTGTATATGGCCTTTCCCCTTTGTCCTAGTGGCTTTTGCCTCTGTTTCTGACATTGTCCCCCATCAGCCATTCATTATTGTGGCACTGCTTTGGTTTTTTTTTTTTAAAAGTTCTCCCTGACTATAAAACTGCAGAGCTATCTGAGGACAGGGATTCTGTTGACATTCTTTTGCTTCCCTAACATGAGCATAGTTGCTTTCACATTGCAAACACTGTTGACGTAGTTGGTACTTTCTTGCCTTTTGGAATAGTTGCTAGATGGATGGATTCCACAAAGCTGTGCTCCATCACTATCTCAACTCCACTCTGAAATTTCTGTGAACTATACTGTCACTTGAGTCTCAAGAGCATTGATTTAGTGAGATAGTAATCCATCGCCCAGATAAAGAATCTGAAGGTTCAGGGAGGAAAGTGTAACATAAGGAGAACAATGCCATCTGAGAAAGGATGCCATGAAGCCTGGGTAGGCATTAGTAACATTAATCACACAGGTCTTTGCAACTCTATAATTCATTTCTCATTACAGCAACAAAATAATGACTGAGCCTTCTCAGAGAAACCACAAATGAAGAAAAAATAAGACTATTATTGAGCTGGAGGAATCGTTGTCAGGGACCAAACAATGACAACAATGGGATTTTGCCCTGGAATTTGGCTAATGGAAGTTATGCAATTCTGTTTCTGCTATTGCAACACCCCCTTCCTGCTGGAAGTATATAAAAGTCCCTGTGCAAATAGTGCCATATACACTCACACAACCTAAGCTTTACATCCATCCAACTAAGTGAATCCTGACACAATGTGCTACTATGGCAGCTACTATGGGGGCCTGGGCTGTGGCTATGGCTCCGGTTATGGCTGTGGATGTGTCAGCTTCCGTGGCCTAGGCTGTGGTTTTGGCGGCTATGGCTATCGAGGCCTGGGTTATGGTGGCTATGGCTATGGCTGTTGGTGCCCATCTTGCTATGGAAGGTATTATTCCTATGGCTTCTACTGAAAACCATTTCCTCTTGCCCTATCATGGCAACCTTGTCCTGCCCTGCTTTGGGCTAATTCCATGGCCTTGTAAGGACCTCACATTCCACCTGCCTCTATGGCTGAGTGGCCTGGGAGAGTTACCACAAGACGGCCTTGGAATCCCTAGGTAACATTCAGGGCAAAGAAGTGGCAGGGACTGAGAATCAGCAGGACCCATTCTTCTGTGATTTGATGCAGAATCTCACCTGTCATGAGGGAGATTCCTCCAATGACAACTCACTTCCTGCAAGTTTGCTCAGCTCTGAGAGACCACGGCTGAGCTTTCTGTTAAAACTTTGTAATAAACTTGTTTCACTGGCTTAGCAAAACTGTATTTGCCTCTCCTTCTTGACATCAATACATGGATTTCCGCCTTTTGTCATGAAAAGATTTTAAGCCTTGATATATTTATTTACATCATTGCAGAAGATTTAGTCTCCAGTGGATCTTTTGCTATGTGGTGATCCCTCTTCAGATTTCTGTTCAGAAAACATTTTTTGCTCATTAAATCTCTTTCTACAAATTGACTTCTGCAGTGCTTCATTTTAGTACATCATAATACTGAGGCCCCACTTTACTGGACTCCAGGCATTTGTCCTTTATGAACTGCATCCCTTCTCACATATTCTAGGCAAATAGGGACAGAACTTTTATCTCAAAAGATTCAAAAAATTTCACATGGTCATGGTGTTATGCTAATAGTTCCTAACATCCAGAACCAAAGTGTCTCTGATTCTGTCTGTATTGACTTAAACTCTTGTTTGGGGCAGCTAGATGTTGCAGTTTATTGACTATTCCACCTAGAGTCATCTTCTTGAGTTCAAATCCGGGCTCAGACTCTACTTTCTGTTAAACAGAGTAAGTCACATAACCTTATTGTCCACGGTTTCCTCATCTCTCCCATGAGCTGGAGAAGAAAGTGACTGACCACTCTATTATGATTACCAAGAAATCCTTGGATGGACTCCCAGTTGACAAACCACTGAACAATAAATCCCTGGTATAGCTTTTTTCCATCCTTTTTTTGTCAGCAAGCAATCTGAAAACTTGGAGCATAGAATGAGTGGACAGCCCACCAGAAAGATTACAGAAGAGAGTCATATTTCAAGTCTGAAGATTGTCATGGAACCCTGTGCCTTTTGTTGTCCCCATCTCCTCAGGCCTACTGCACAACCTGTCCAACTCACAACACTGACCTCGAGTTGAGGCCTCCCATCCACAGAGAAAGAGTTCCATTGTGGCAAGGGCATACAGGAAAACACTCAAAAACCTCAACTCCCTAATAAACTCAAACACCAAAGGAAAGAAAATAGCTGCTTTGCAGCTCAGCATCCTGTCTACTGACTTTTAGATTCCTCACCTCCATAGATCAACACAGCCCCTGAAATCATGCCCTTTGTATGCGTTCTTGGGAAGAAAAATGAGCTTAGTACATTCTCTGGCACTGGGTGGCTACTTACTAATTGTTTATTAATTAAACTTGTGTTTCAAACAGTGTAGACAACCGTACAAGGCCCACTACCATCATTAGTTTAAAATGCATTTCTATTACTATATATCACTCCTTGTAATAATTCTGAATTGAAAAGAAAATCATGTACATATCTGTAAGTCTACAGGATTTAAGAGGGAAATGCTCTCAACAGCCTCACTCTAGTTGATTTCTTCCAAAACATAACTCCAAAAGATTCACCAATCATATGTCAGGAGACATTCTATGACAATCACTTCTATGGGTACAAATCCATCAGAAAAAAGAATATTTCTCCATTGCCCACCTTGCACTGGGCAATGAATATTCCATTCTCTTGATCAAAGACAAAAATCAGTTTAGATGTGGATGAGACAAATGCCATTTCAGAAACCACGTTATGCCCTCAGGCACAAACAGAAATGATCTAATACTTATAATAGGTGATGTCAGTTGACACACCTTGAGAATGCTAGTAAAAGCCCCTGAGTGTCCTCTAAAACAAAGACTCTCAGTTCCTCCAAGTGAGTCTCTTAGTTTTTGAGTTGGAGGCCCTTTGGCCTCATGGTCTGACTTTTCAATGCTCTTCAGCTTCAGCAAAGACCAGCCATCCACTGAGCAGGTTACAGACCAACCTTCAAGTCCATTTTCCTGAACTCTGGGCCCTTGTACCTCTCTTCATGCAATCTCAAGGTAACTGTGCAATTTCTTGTTATGCGACAAGCTATTGGGCTTCCATATCCTTGAGAGTGGAGTTGCAGGATTGCAAGGTGGGAAAAGAGACGAGACATCTACTGCTGCCCCAATCTCCTTGAGTTCAGTTTTTTTTCCAGTCACCTGAAGAACTTCTGAGATGCTCCACAATCAGAGAACTACAGCTTGCTTTCTCTTCTCTCCACTACATTCTCTCTGATCTGCCATGGGCTCAGTTACCTTTGCTCTGATACTCAATATTCCTTCTCCAGCTCCAAAGCAGTATTTCTCTGAAACTAATTTGTTCAGCAGGCTTTCTACACCTACCCAGATTGCAGGATCCTACCAACCTTACATAATCAGCACTTTCTGGGAATTTCACATTTGAAAGTCCATGGCTTTACTGAGGTCATTGTTGCCTACTCAGGGTCTCTGGCTACTCTCCTTTGGCTGAACCTCACAGTTGTGTCTCTTTTGCTTTTTCTCTTCATCAGTTTCTACAGAGGTGGCAGTAGCCCCTCCTTAGGTCTCAGAGTTTCATTGACCTTTTTCTGCCACTCATTTTGAAATCTGCAGATACAGACTTTCATCTCTCCTGAGCTACAGTCCTACAACATGAATTGTCAATGTCCACAAATTTCAACTTGATATTCAATACATATCTCAAAGTCCCTAAGTGTAGTACAGATTTCCTCACGCTGCCTTGTCCAAAGCATACTACCTCTTCTCAAATTCTCTATTCCTTTCCAGATCACAAATATCTAGCCAAGATTTTAGGTTTACCCTATCAGGGACGTCCTTGACCCCTCATTTTCACAGAATCTATTTGATGAGTTTATACAACTTGTTCTATCTACCTACATAACATCTCTGGCATCCAAACACTTCTCTCAAACTTATAGCCCTTAGATCAGAGTCTCTTAGCTCCTCTCTGCAAGTGGCTTTGATAGGCTGGCCTGCCTCAATCTTTTCCCACTCAGATTCCTAGTCCAAGCAGCAGCCCAAGGTATTTTTCTAAAGCATTCATCTGGCTCCTGTTGTGCCTAAAGCCTTCCAAATCCTTGGCCTTGTACCAATTATCTTCTAAGCACCAGTTGCTTCCTTTTTTGTGCTAACTTAAATAGATAGCTTCTGTCTGGTATTTGACCCTCTTCTTTAGCTGGTCCATTCCCACCTTTCCAGTCTAAGTACTCTTTATTTTGCACCCCACAATTTGATGGTCTTGCCAGTGCTAGTCCACAGTCTTTTACATGACAACATACTACATGTTCCTTCAGCCTGCCTTTGCACTGGTTGGCTATTCATGTGTGAGGATTAAAATTGTCCCACCTACAATAAAAAAAACTGAGGCAACTCTCTGAACCAGTGGCACTTAATTAAAAGGGCCATGGTCCTCTCTAATGAAATGGACCTCATATGTTCCTCATGATCTGAGAAGCTCTCTTTTTCCATGGCCTTTTTTGGTAAGGTTTCATAACAGATTTGATAACTGAACACCATACAGAGGATACACAAAGTATAGAATCTCAATAATTGATAGCTCTTGTTATGCAGGACAAAAAATGAGGCATCAGCTAGAAATGGAATGTCAGCAGGAGGGTCTTAGGTTGGTTGAGGCATGGGGCATCTCCACTGAGAAGGAGGTCATAAGATGGTCACCTGTTTATGTTGGACAAGTGAGCATGTCTGGAGGCACAAAAATAAGTTGGGGGACTTTGCATGTCATTAAGTCACCTCTGCCATGCTGGGTTTGTTCAACATAAGAAACAAAAATAAGGGTGGAGGGCCTCTAGTTAGCTTTCTCTGATTAAGCAAATGAACTTACAACATACAGGTCACAGCTCTGGGGTACAACATATAGAATTTATAATGCCTATGATGTTGGAATCTTATTAAATTGATTATTACTGATTCAAATGGAGTAAGGGTCCAAATGAATTATTTCTCACATCTTCTCAGAATCCTATCCTCTCTCTTCCCTTCCCCTCTGACTTTCTATTCCATTATATTCTCAGTTCTAAAATCACCTGTGGTACATGGCCTTTCTCCTTTCCCCTAGTAACTTCTGCCTCTTGATCTGAGGACTTCCCCCATCAACCTCCCATGTTTGTGACAGGTGCCTTTTTTTTTTTAATGTTTTCTCTGGCCTTAACAAATTCAGAGACAGCTGACTGCAGGGACTCTGTTGACATTCCTTTGTACCACTAACATTGGCACAGTGGCTCTCACAGTGCAAACATTGGAGAGGTGTTTGGTTTTTGGAATGGTTGTTGAATGTATGGATTCCACAAATCAATGCTCACCACAATCTCAACTCCAAACTGAAATTTCTGTGAACTCTTCTGTCACTTGAGTCTCAAGAAGACTTCATTTAGAGGGACAGGATTCCATCATCCAGACAAAGAATCAGAAGGCAAGGGAAAGTAGTGTAATGGAAGGAGAACAATGCCTTCCAGGAGGGGATGCTATAAAATCTAGGTAAGGCATCAGCTACGTTAGTCACATAGGCTTTGGCAACATGATAATCATTTCTTATTATAGCAACAAGATAATGACTGAGCCTTCTTATGGGAAGCACAAATGAAGAAAAAAGAAAACTGTTACTGAGCTGGAGGAATTGTTGTCAGGGACAAAACAATGACAAGAATGAGATTTTATTCTCCATTTGGTTAATGGAAGTTGTGCAGTTCTGGTTCTGTGTCTCCCACACCCGCTTCCTGCTGGAAGTATATAAAAGTCCTTGTGCAAATAGTGCCATATACACTCACACAACCTAAGCTATAAATTCATCCACCTAAGTGAATCCTGACACAATGAGCTACTACGGCAGCTACTATGGGGGCCTGGGCTATGGCTATGGCTCTGGTTATGGTTGTGGATGTGGCAGCTTCCGTGGCCTAGGCTGTGGCTTTGGTGGCTATGGTTATGGAGGCCTGGGCTATGGTGGCTATGGCTATGGCTGCTGGCGCCAATCTTGCTATGGAAAGTATCATTCCTATGGCTTCTACTGATAAAACCATTTACTCTTGCCCTATCATGGCAACCTTGTCCTGCCCTGCTTTGGGCTAATTCCATGGCTTTGTAAGAACATCACATTCCACCTGCCTCTATGG